TCGTGAGTGGTGAGTAGTGAGTCGTGTGTAATGGGTTGTGGTAGTAGTTAGTGAGTAGCGCGTAGAGATTAGTGAGTTGTGAGTAGTGAGTGGTGGGTAGTGAGTACCGGGAAAGAAGTAGTGAGTAAGGAATTGTAAGTAGTGAGTAGGGAGGAGTGAGTAATGTGTAGTGAGTAGTAAGCAGGGAGTAGGGATGAGGGAGTAGACAGTAGCGAGGAGTGAGTAGCGAGTAGTGAGTAGTGAGTACTGCGCAGTGAATAGAGGGTAGTGAGAGGTGAGTAGCGAGTAGCGAGTGGCGGGTAGGGATTAGCGAGTAGGGAGTAGCGAGTAGTGAGTAGTGAGTAGCGAGTAAGGCCTTGTGAGTAGTGAGTAGTGAGGAGGGAGTAGTCAGGAGTCCCTCGTGAGTGTGGAGTAGGGAGTAGTGCGTAGCGAGTAGGGAGTAGCGAGTAGTGAGTAGTGAGTAGGGAGTAGTCAGTAGTGAGTAGTGAGTAGTGGGTGGGGAGTCGTGGGTTGGGAGTGGGCAGTAGTGAGTAGTGAGTAGTGGGAGCGTAGTAACTAGTGAGTAGTGGGTAGTGAATAGTGCGCATTGGGTAGCGAGTAGGGCTTATTGAGTGGCGAGTACTGAGTAGTGAGTAGTGAGTACTGTGTAGGGAGTAGCGAGTAGCGAATAGTGGATGGTGAGTAGTCAGTTGTGGGCAGTGAGTAGTGAGTAGTGAAGTGTTAGTAGTGCGTACTGGATAGTGGTTAGTGGGTAGGGAGTAGTGATTCGTGAGTAGTGGGTAGCGAAATTGTGTTCAGTGGGTAGTGAGTATTGAATAGTGGGTAGTGAGTAGTGAGTAATTTGTAGTAGTGAGTAGTGCGTAGTGAGTAGGGGGTAGGGGGTAGTGAGTAGTGCGGCGTGGGTAGTGAGTCGTGGGTAGTGAGTAGTGAGTCGTGAGTAGTGAGTAGCGAGAAGTGAGTAGTGAGTAGTGGGTAGTGAATTGTGGGTAGTGAGTAGTGCGTAGTGAGTAGTGAATACTGTATGGGGCTAGGGTTTGGGTTTGGGGTTAGGTTTAGGGGTTAGGGTCAGGGTGAGGATTAGTGTGAGGGGTGGTAGGGGTCGGGTTCCGGAGACCGGGGGCGCCGTTGCGAAAGGGGGGATGGGGGGGGGTCTGAATTTGGCGGCCAAAAGGGGGGAGGGGAGGGGTCGGACCCCCCTCCTTCTTGAGAGGGATGGAGGGGGGGGGCTGCCCGACGACGGGCCGGGAAAAGGGGGGGGTCCCCGACGACGGATTGGGAAAGGGGGGGAAGGGGGGGATCCCCGACGACGGATCGGGGAAGGGGGGGGGGGTCCCACCCCCCCCCCCCCCTTTTGGGGTCATCCAGCAGCGCGCCCTCGACTTGATGGCCATCAAGTGCAAAGTGCGTGTGAGGCCTGCCCACGGCGGCACTTCCCGCGGCGAGGCGACTGCTCTTGCGCCGAGTCGTCTGACCAGGGGTCCCCAAACGATTTTTCGACGACCAAAATCTCCCGTTTGGTCCTGAGGCGCATGGCCCCCCCCCCCGGAGACCTAGGTCTACGAGGACCCGGGGGTGGGTGGGATCGGCCCCCCCTCCAGGATTGGGAAACCTCCCTGAGTCCACGAAATCGCCCGAGACGAGCCAGGCGGCAGCGCGGGCGAGGCGCCAGGCGGCCGCCAGTCAAGAGGGCCATCCCGGCCTCGAAGAGCACCGGCGCGGAAGGCGCAGCTGCAGCAGCGTTGGCAGTCGCTGCGGTGGTCGACGGTCGGACTCGTGTGTTGGTCGTGTCGGGGGGGTCGACTGTCTGTCTCACGCGGGGTTCGCCCTGGTGGAGCGGATCGTCCGTCTCACGGAGTCGGTCGGGTGCCCGGGGCCGTGGGGGCAGCAGCGAGGTGCGGTAGAGAGCCGAGGGAGAGGAGAGCCTGCCGAGCGCACTCGGAGGGAGACGGGGCTGGAGCTGGAAAGGGGCGCTGCGTGCGTGGGGGTTCCATGCGCCGTGACATTGCCACGAGCGCAACTGCACCCCCGAATCCAGGGTCGAGCTTCGCGCCGCGAGCGGCAGGTCTGGCGGCGGAGGGGGAAGCGATGTGAGGGGAGGAGAAAAAACGCGATGCGGCTGGCTTCCCCCTGCCAGTGGCTTTTCCCTCACGCAGCGTTTCTGCATGAAAAGCCTGTCCGGGCAAATGGGTCAAGACCTCTGTGGGTCGACGTGATGAAGGAATCAAGAAATCATGACTGGTGGTCTGGAAAGGCTTCGGGTTGCGCACAGACGGCCTCCCCAGGTATCGTGTAGGGGATCGACTACAGAATTGATTGTCCCCGAAATTGATTCTTCCGTCGGCTCTACAACAACTACGTCGAAGTCTCCGTAGCGCTAGGGAGCATTCTGCGTAATTGTTGGTAGATCCGACGGGGAATGTTCTTTATTTCGGGGTAACTCAATTCTGCAGTCGATCTTCCACCAGAAGGTAGTCCTGGCTGGCCTCAGCAGGCCCCTCGAGTAGTCCCAGGTGGAGCGGGCCGCCCCCCGAGCAGTCTTGGATGGTCATGGTTCGCGCTCGGGCAGGTTCGGACTCGGCAGGCTCGGGCTCGGTATGGTATGGGACTGGGGGGACGGGGGCGGCCAAGATCACGAAGGGAAACAACACAGACACTATTAATCGTCGATTCCCCTGAACCTATGGAACATATGGGAAGTGGGGGGGAGGACGAGAATCCCCAAAAGATTAACAAACGTGGGGACTCCTGGGATTTGTGTGTATTTATCTGTGTGTTCCTGGGCCCCCTCACAAGAGGCTGACCTGGGGAGGGCGGCCAGTCAGGCAGGCACCCGTCTCGAAGCAGAGCGACGCGGCGCGCTGTCCCCGAACCGATTTGCACGCCATCCCCCACATGTGTCCGACATAACAAGCTCAAAATGGCATTTACGCTCGAATCGTCCACTTGTCAGGCGATTGCCGACATGGATCAAGAGGGCGTGGATCAGCGACGTGTCCCGTTTCCGTGGGAATTCGCAGATTTCCGCCGCCGAACGAGGCGGCACCAGCCGCAAATCGGAGAGGGTGACCGCGCGCCAACTCCATGAATCGCTAATCCATGTTTGCGCGCCTCCGACACATGTGTCCGACATAACAAGCTCAAAATAACATTTACGCTCGAATCGTCCATTTTCGGGGATATCGCGCTTGTAGGAGATCGGTGTTGCACGCTGTCTGTGCGACTCCAACCGTGGGGTGGTATGTGGATATCAAGGCCAGGGCCATGAACTCTCCCTGGATGTCATTGCCCGTTCTCCTTTTCAATACACCTCCTGGTCCGCCACTCATCCGCGCATATGCCCACATGCCTTGATCCATGATTTGCGGATCCCCCTCTTGGATGCCCCCTTCTTGGACCACCTTGAACTCAGGAGGTGCTCTGGTTTTCGGGCCGTCTCGTGGATCGGGGTCGGGGAACCGATCTGTGGCCGAAGCTCGGCATGGCTAAAACGGCCCTTCCATTCCTCATTCAGCGATGCTTTGGTAGGACGATGGCTGTGTCATGCATGCCACAGGCTTGGGCAGGGTGGGGCTAGGCCTGCTGTCGGGGGCTTCCAAACTATAGTTTGACCACGCCGTGTGGTGAGTCAGTGTGGCTTCGGGGTGACCGCGCGGTCTTGGGGAGCGGGGTTGTTCTCCGAGGACTTCTCAGGCGGCTGGGGCCTTTGGGGTCCCAGAACCGTGCGGTGGCTGGCCGTGCTGTGAGGGAGGGTTTCGAGGTCACCGCACGGTCTGTCACCGCATCGTTTTGGGACCCCTAAGATTTGGAGGCCTAGAGGTTGGCGCTGACACCAGTACGGGCGAGTGTTTCCACCATGGGGCGATAATCCTCATGTAGGTCATGGTGATGATATTCGGGCTTCTTGGGTGGCTGAGAGAATGTTACCACCAGCTCCCAAATCCAGGATCATCTCCCCCCGGTGGAGGCAACCCGTTGTGCTGGTGTTGGTGCTGATTCCCAGGCCCCCAGCCAATGCAGCAGTTCCGTTCCCATCTCGAGCCGAAGTCGTTTTGGCACGAGCGCCCCCCGAGGCTGAAGGCAACCCGAGGAGGCAGGCATTCACAGCAGGCGACGGGGTTTTTCAGAAACCCTCGTCCCATTCGGAGGTGGATAGACCTCCTACCCTGAAACGTCGAACAAGGAATTGGCCGTTTTCGGTTCGCGAGAGAGCGTCGCGGCCGTCATTTTTGCGGGTCCAGATCCGGCGGCTTCGGTCCCAGGCCATTTTCACTAAGGGGAGGTTTACTAAAGGGAGGTTTGTCCACCGCCGATCCCTCCGAGGAGTGCTCTGAGCCTTCTTCGAAGGCAGGGACGGCCTCTCAAGAGGCCGGGGCGGGCTTCTGACTGTGAGCTGGCAGCGAGCACCCACGCCTATTCAACCCCTAGACTTCGCGGGGTGGAATCCGGGGGGGGCTACGGTGTTGTCGGATGGGGTCCCCGCTCGAACGAGAGCCCCCCTCGGGGTCTGACAACCTGCGCCAATACGCATAGCACCTTCATCTCAGTGCCCTTGCCGCTCTGCCTCCATACAGCCAAGACGCTGACATAAGAAACAGTTTGGATTCGAAAGGGGCTCGATGTTCATAGGTTCCTCCGTTGCTGTTCCTCTTGCCCTCCTCGGGCACGGAGGCGCTTCCAGGGCCAAGAAGGGGCTTCGTTTCTTGTAAAGCGTTCCTTGTTTTCAGCGGCCCGACTGCATAGGTTTGAGTGCGTGTTGCTCTCTCATCCCGAGAAGCCGCGCCGCCCTTGAGAGGGCCCGCCCTCTCCCACCTACTTTACGAGCCGCGATCATAGCTGTGTCCGCTCCTCCTCCTCCTCCTCCTCGGTCTGCATTCCTGGGCGCGGTCCAGCGGGTACGTGGTCGCACGGATACGTTCCGCGCGGGGCATCCGCGACAAAGCGCCACGTATCCGCTGGATCGCGGCCCGGGGCCCGTCCTGTGAGGCTGCGGGTACGGAGGTGTGATCTGCCCACGGGAGAAGGCCTGCCATGGCCTGCCCCCTCTCGCTCGACCTGCACCTTCCGCGCGGAAGGTGCCGCCGCGATGCGGCCTCGACGGTGGCCGCCCGGCCGCAACGGAGGCGGCGGCGGCAAAGCGGCCCCTGCCTCTGGGAAGATGCGGAAGGTGCAGGTCGAGGGCGCCCCTCTCCCCTGAGCGACTTTTTGGCACTCCCAGGGCCCGGCGATGGCCCTGGGAGAGGCTGCAGATCGCGAAAACCGACTCGTTGCCTTTGTCTCATGGCCCCATCGGTGGTCTGGGCTCGCCGCTCGTGATCGCCTCCCTCCGGGCTCGGCCGCCGAAACACGGCGCCCGCGGCGCTTCTCATGGGGCAGCGCGTTACCACTTGCGCGGCCGCCTGCCCCGCCGGCGCCGGTGCCGGCAGCGCGCCCATCGCAGTGCGGGGCGCCCGCCTGCCGCGGGTGCTCGCAGCCAAGGATCCGCGGGTGCTCGAAGCCGACCGCTGAGAGCTTGGCGTCGGCATCACCAGATAACAAGTTAGACGCTGGAAGGAGGACTGCTTGGGGTTCGGAAGGGGCTCGTTGTTCCTCTGGCCATTATGCGGTTGTTTCTCTAGCCGTCCTCGTGCACCCAGGCTAGCTCGGTGCGGAACAAGGGCTTCGTCCCATATCTGGCGGTCCTTGTTTGAGCAACTCGACTGCGCTCCTACGAACCTCAAGAAGCAAATGAGAACCCTCCCTTTTCCGGCAAAAGGATAACGCTTCCCATACCAGAAGCGTGATCCCCGGGATCCCCACACTGGAAGGATGTTGTGGGCATCGTCCTAGCGCCGCGTGCATTCGCTTGCAAATCTTGCAAGAGTTTCACGGATGGAGGGCGGTTTGTGTCTCCCGCCTTAGCGCCGCGCACATTCGTTTCAAACACGTACGAGAGTTTCACGGATTGAGGGCGGTTCGTTTTCAAAGTGTGGTTCTCGCTGTAGCGCCGCGCACATTCGCTTCAAGAACTTGCAAGAGTTTCAGGCATGGAGGGCGCGCAGATTTCAAGAGTTTCACGGATTGAGGGCGGCTCGTTTTCAGAATGTGGTTCTCGCCGTCGTTGTGAAGACGCTGCAGTAGTTTCACGCATTGAGGGCGGCTCATTTTCAAAATGTTGTTCTCGCCGTAGCGCCGCGCACATTCGTTTTGAAAACGTTTCAAGAGTTTCACGGATGGAGGACGGCTCGTTTTCAAAATGTGGTTCTCGTTTCAGCGCCGCGCGCATTCGTTTTGAAAACGTTGCAAGAGATTCACGGATTGAGGGGTGTTCGGTTTCAAGATGTGATTCCATTGTGGGCCGCGCGCATTCGTGAAAGAAAATTGCCCGAACTTCACGGATGGGGCGGCTCGTTTTCAAAATGTTGATCTCGCTTCAGCGCCGCGCACGTTCGTTTTCAAAATGTGTTCTCGCCTTAGCGCCGCGCGCACTCGTTAAGCAAACATTGCACGGTTCGTTTTCACAATGTGGTTTTCGCCTTAGCGCCGCGCACGTTGGATTTGAAAACGTCGCAAGCGTTTCATTGATCGAGGGCGGTTCTATGTTTCCTTCTAATGTTTAAGACCACTACGACGACTACTGATTACCACTACTACTATTACTACTACGACTACTACTACTACTACTACTACTACTACCACTACTACTACTACTACTATTACTACTACTACTACTACGACTAGTACTACTACTATGTCTACCACTATTTCTATTATTATTTCTACTACTACTACTACTACTACCACCACTACTACCGCTACTACGACTACCACCACTACTACTACTACTACTACTACTACTACTACTACTACTACTACTACGACTACTACGACTACTACTACAATTACTGCTACTACTACTACTACTACTACTACTAGTACTACCACTACTACTACTACTACTACTACTACTACTACTACTACTACCAGTACTATTACTGTTATTGGTATTACGACTATTTTTGATTCCCGCGATTTCCACGATTCCTATTTCTTCTACTGCTCCTACTGCTCCTACTACTACTATTTCAAAGTACCGCTACGACTACGACTACTACTAGTACTGCTACTACTACTACTGCTACTACTGCGACTGCTACTGCTACTGCTACTGCTACTGCTACTGCTAGTACTACTACTACTACTACTACTACTACTACTACTACTACTACTACTACTACTACTACTACTACTACTACTATTACTGCTACTACTACTAATACTACTACTACTACTACTACTACTACTACTAGTACTACTACTACTACGACTACTACTAGTACGAGTGCCACTACCACGGCAACAACAACAACTAGAAGTACTACTACTACTACAACTTCTACTCCTACGGCTACTATTATAAATACTGTTTCTACTACTAGTTTTAAGATTGCTTTCGCTACTATGTCTACTACTAGGACGACGACGACGACGACTACTACTACCATTACTACGACTAGTACTACTACTACTACTACTACTACTACTACTACAACTACTACTACTGCTACTACTACCGTTACTACTACTACTACTACTACTACTACTACTACTACTGCTGCTACTACTACTACTGCTACATGTACTACTACTGCTGCTACTACTACTACTACTGCTACTACTATTTCTACTACTACTACTACTACTACTACTACTACTACTATTACTACTACTGCTATTACTACCACGACTACTACTACTAGGCAAGCCCAATCGAGGAGCATCTTGAAGGACACCTTGCGAAAACAACAGACGCACGAGATCGAAACATGCACGGGGAATGGACTTCCCGTTGATTTCTTCGGGAGATATCCAACATGCTCTTTCATTTCTGCAGGCGGGCTCCGGCGCCGGCGCGGGAACGGCGCGGCGTGCGGGCAGCGCCGGGCAAGCCGCAGGGCGCGCGGAGCCCAGGAGCCCGAGCATGCCGCAGCCTGGGCTTCTCCAGCAGGCCGGTGCGGTTGTCCTCCCGGACGTCGGATCCGCCCTATTTTCGGGGCTTGGGATGTGTCCACTCCATGATGCTATGTCTGTCCACTATTCATCGCCATGGGATAAGCGTGTCCTGCGGGAAGCGGGTCTTGTTTTTTCGCCGTGTTCGGGCTCTCGGGGCCCTCCACACGGCCCGGGGGCTGTCAGAAAGCGATTCTGGATGAACAAGTGGTCCTGCGGGAAGGTTTCCCTCAGGACCCGCTCCCCCATGCCAACGTCAGTAGCAAATGGCGGCCCAAGCTCTGTGTATATGTTTGTTTCGGCACTTGTCGCCCAGAGGACCGGCCAGGAAAATCATACTGTACGTTGCTGTGTGGCGACAACTCACCCTCCTTGACTGCCTCACCGCGGCCGTCCCTGCCAGCGGCGCTCCTGCCAGCGGCGACGGCGGTACTGGCGGCGCGGCGGCCGGGCCTCCTGGGGAGTCGCCGGTAGTGGAGTACAGGACGGTCGAGGTGGCGCCTCCCGTGCACTGGCGCGGCGTTTCCCCCAGCAATGGGGCGAGTGGATTCCTGTCGCCGCGAGGCCGGCACCGGCAGTTCTGCCCTCGGAGGCCAGCGGCGGACGGGGCTGCGAAGGCGCTGACGCCAGCGCGGTGGCGGCGGCGCGGCTGCTGGCGCGTTTCTGCGCGCTGACAGAGCGGCAGCCCGCGGCGGCAAGCGGGCTCCCCGGAGCGCAGACGGCGCTCTTCCCGGATGCCGCTGGCGCTTCGGGCTGCGCTGACGCTGCCGACGGCGCGGAGGCGGCGGAACGGCTGCTGACGCTTATCGAGGCGGTGCCAACAGCAGGAGGGCCGCTCCTGCCGGACGCCGCTGCGGCGTGCCTTCCTGTGCGCGGGCGAGTTCGATATCGAGCTCGTGTATGATGCCCTCGCGTAACACCCATTCCCTCTCGGGATGCCCCCAGTGGAGGTTGAGGACCCCCCCGGGGGCCCCCATTCGAGGTGGAGGCTCCGGCGGGGTTCGATGCGGCTGCTGACGAGCTGCAGACCTGCAGAGACGCCATCGGCGTCTGCGAGCCGCGTTCCTTCCCTCCCGGATCGCGCCCGGCGGGGGTTGAGGCCCTGGGGCTCCCTCCTACGGCGCCGCCCGCAATGGAGGTCGGAGGCCAGGGCGTTGTCCCTCCCAGCTCTGCGGGGTCGGTGGAGGTGGAGGGCGCCGTCCCTCCCAGCTCTGCGAGGCCAGTAAAGGTGGAGGGCGCCGTTCCTCCCAGCTCTGCAAGGCCGGTGGAGGTGCCTCCCGGCCGAGCGGGGCCGGTGGAGGCGGCTGCGGCGGCGAGCGCGCGCCCCCCTGGCTTTGGGGGCGCTGCTGCGGTCCGGAGGCCGCGCGGCGGTGGAGGAGGTTGCCGCCTTCCCCTTCCACGTCCCCGTCAAGAGGAAGCTCCGGGCGCTGCGGCGCCGACTGGTCGTCGCCGTCGGCGGCTTTGCTGACCCGGAGCTCGCGGAGCTGACGGGTCGGATGGCGGCCGGCATCGACGCCGCCGCCAGCCAGCCGTAGGCCGGCGGCCGCTGGGCGGGCGCCCCCTCGCTCGCCGCGCGCCAGAAGAGCTCAGCGTGCGCCCTGGTGGTCTAAACTTGTTTTTTCGCGCGATGCCTGTGACGTATCACTCCAGGCTGTGCCGGTAAAGGCCCGAATTCAGGGACCCGATGTGTGCCGTGGTGAGGTCCTTGGTGGCCGCCTCGCTGAAGCCCCTGCGTGAGCCCCAGTGCGAGCTGCGTAAACCTGAATTAATATTGTTATTGCTCGTTCTGATTATTCCGATTATTTGGGCATGGTTTTTTGTGGGCTGTCTCTGGTTTTTCAGCTTTCAGCTGGATCGTTTCCCGCGGCGACCTGCCCTGCGATGGTCACCGCTGGCCTCCAGTTCCTGGAGCGACGACTTATGCCCAGGCCTTGGTTCGAGGTCCGGTCGCCGAGTTTGTCCCCTGAGCTGGCCCGCGGGCGGAACAAACATTTTCGCATTTGGCGCGGCCCCTGGCGGCGCGGCCATTGGGGCAGGCCCCGGGGCGGGCCCCCTGCCGTTGAAGGCGACGTTGACCTCGAGGCGACCCCGCGTCGCCAGGCAAGGCCGCCCCGCGGTAGCGACAGATTTCGCTCGGCACGTGGTTCGGCTGCGCTCGCCGACGAGTTTTGTGGCATCCGATGGCGAAGGTTATCTCGGATGCATCCGAGGAGTCAGAGAAATTCTGGCCCGCTGCCTCCCGCGCCCATCCCTGGGCCGAGCCCGCTCGGGATGTCGCGGCCCGACGATGGAAGACAATAATCATGAAACGTTGGCCACGAACCAAGAAGGCAGATGATGATCTGCACGCGGCCGGTTGCGCGCTGTGCGGGGGCGAGTCGTTCTCGAGCGAGCCCCGCCCCTCCGCGCCGACGCTGCGGGGCGCCGCGAGTTGCCGCGAGCTATCGCGGGCCGGCGCGAGCTAGCGCGGGCCAGTATAAGATGGCGAT